ATCCAGGATCTTTTGCAATCACTTTCGCGGCTTCTATAGCTTGTTGTCTCGTCGTCCCACAAGAATTGACCTTGTCGGCGGTCGGTGGTCGAAGGCATGCAATGGTGGTCGGATGTGGAAAATGTCGGACAACAACGGTGCAGACTGGAGACGGTCGCCAGTGACGGGAATTGTTGTCCGTCGTAAGGAACAATGGCTGGCTATAGGTGCTTCGGTGGCTTACGACAGGTTCGGCAGAGGATGCGGTGGCCGACGATGGGGGTGCAGTGGCAGGCTGCAATGGTATTGTTGACAGTGGCAAAATTAAATGAAAGTTTGTTTCGTGAAAGGTGTTTGAATTTGTTTAGTCTTGAATTGCGTGTATTGAGTGTATTTACAAGTAAGGGTTATTTATTTATATTTTTCAAGGTTTAGAAAATCGTACCGGCTGGTCGGACCGGAAATATCGGATATTGGGCCCAAAACGGTAGCCAGTTTTAGCGGTAGGCAACGGTTCAATTATAGTTAAACCACAATTTTATTACAAAATACCCTATCACTCACTTTTCCGGTATAACCTCCCGTACGGCTTACTAAACCTTGATATTCTTTTATTTAGGGCTAGAAATAAGATTTTTGTAAGACTACAAATAGCACCTCCCATAATGAATGGTATGAACATGATCAATTAGTTCTTACTTGGATTATTCTCTCTTTGTCTGAAGCAATCATGTCAAACATCATCAATAAGTCGAATGCTCGTGCTTACTGGGAGACTTTGGCTCGCTTGTATGGGATATGCAACCAAATGGAAAATGGGACATAAACAATCTCACACTAACTGATGTATGCCCTAAATTTTGCCTAAGAGGATGTTTCTCTCTCCTAGGTCAAGAACAAGCAAAGATTACTCACATTAAAGTAAGAGATTGACATGAATAACATCGATTAGACATAGATATATAGGTTCACAACCATCCTTGCATACGACCCATAACAATATACAAGCTAGAGTTCATCTTCCTAAACAAGAAGAGAAGCTAAAACATATATATATATATATATATATATATATATATATAAATAGAGAGAGTGTGTGTAAAAATGGGAAGAAGATGACAACTCCATGGCTATATCCTTCTTCTTTTTGCTTTGATCACCCTTCTTGAATCTTGGGAGGTTTTGGGGTTATGATGAAAAAGGTATCACCCAAAAGCTCTCCAAGCTCCTGACTCTCACTCTACATCTTCTCATAATATGTTTTTCTCTCTCTCGGATGTCCCCCTTTGATCAAAACAACCCCATTTTTTTGTAGACCCACACAGGTCAAAGTTCACGACCTAGAGTTTGTTGTCGTGAACTTTGAGAAGAGGTTGTGAATTTTTTATGGGAAGGGGAAGTTCGCAGCTTGGACTCAAGAGTTCGCGGCCGTGAACTTTGAAAGGAGGCCACGAACTATTGGGAAACGGAAATTCGAAGCTTTAGTTCAAGAGTTTGCAGACTAGATCTTCTAGTCACTAGGTGGTGAACTCATGGGAAAAGTTCTCGTCGCTCGTCCAGCTCGCCTTGACCGTGTGGCAGGTCGCTTGACCTTATGTACTCATCATGGATGCCCTCTCGGAGTTTGCGTGTATGAGGAAAATTTCTCGGCCATGTTCTTCTGCTCACCAGGAACTTTGGTAGGCCTTGCTTTCCACCTTCTTTTCACCCGTCAAACGACTTTCAATTGGCACAAAACTTGGCGTGCCTCTTCCTTATCGTACTAGGATCTAAAATTAAAAAATAAAACATAGCCTATGAAGAAAAGGATGATAATGAACAAGATTTATGTCAAATTCATGCCAAATTGCCAAGCAATGACAAAAACATGCTAAATCTTAGGATCTTGACAATAGGAAGAAAATATAGAATGGAATCAATCTCAACTGTCCAAAGGTGATGATTATTGCATGAAGACTCCTTTGAAATGAGGACTAAATAACACCAACTTTAGGTGTTATTAATTTCCTATGTGGATCCATAATCGGACACAAGCCTTGGTGCTCCAAATCTTGTTAAAAGTCTTTGAAGAAATTGTACCACTAGTCTAGCATCATTGGTTGGTAGTGTTAGTGCCTATGCCCATTTGCAGACATAATCTACTACCACGAGGATATATATTTTCCAAATGAGGATGGGAATGGTCTCATGAAGTCAATACCCCAGACATTGAAAACGTCAACGGGTAGTCGGGTAGGAATATATTTTGGGGCATTTCATTTCTTCTTGTAACGGTTCCTAGTCTTTGGCATGCATCACAATGTTTGGCATAAAGGTTGCAATCTTGAAAAATAGTTTTACGGATTAATCCACTTTTTGGTATCACTCTTGTTGTTTGGTTACCACAATGATGTCCTTTTGTAGGTCCTGAATGGCAGTGACTTTTGATATATGTTGATTCTTTCAAGTAGACACATATTCGAATGATATTGTCAGACCCAATCCACTTTTGAGTATTATTATTGTTGTTTGTCACCACTATGGTGTCCTTCTGCAGGTCCTGAATGACAGTGACTTTTGATATCTAATCCACTTTTGAGTATTATTATTGTTGTTTGGTTACCACTATGGTGTCCTTCTGCAAGTCCTGAATGGCAGTGACTTTTGATATCTGTTGATTCTTTGAGGAGACACTAATTCGAATGATATTGTCAGACCCAATTCGATACAATAAAGGGCCTTCTCAAAAAGTAATACTTGAGGTATGCAAATATTTTCTTATTCTCTTAGTAGGCTAATCCATCAGGAGTTCGCTAATGTATAGATAATTGGCTATGTCTGCGGGTCCTTTATCAGTCTCGAGAGCAATGGTTTTATCTTTTAAATGGTTTTCATTGTGTTTCTTGTCATTCGAACACTAGAAGAATTAAGATAGCTGCTCATTTAGTGGCAAAAGAACTCTTTCATATGTAGATCAATTTGTTATCTAATTTTTTTTAAAAATATTATTATCTAGTTATAGACGGTCACATTTGATTATTTTTTTTATAAATAATACCTTGATGCTATAATTAATTAGTAGGGGACGCATTACATTGTTATAAGAACCGAAAAGTACCAACGGTTAGACTAGTAAAATCAATAAACCAGTTACAATAGCAATCCAATTCTTTTACTTGAAATCAAAAAATTATGAATTTTTATAAACCATCCAACCTAAATCGCTAATTTTATTACTTCATTTTTTTTTTGTTTCCTAGCCTCCTTGTTGGCTTTGTGTGGCCCACTATGAACTATTAGCTTAGTTACTAATTTGAATTTAATAAAAAAAATTATGATTTCTTTTGTAAGATAGTTTGAATCAGTGTTATTAAAGCCAGACTGGACCGGTCGGTCCGACCGGTCCAACCGTCACCCGGCCACCAATCCGGTCCGGTCATGCTATTTAGCCGCCCCGGCTGGAACACCTCATTTTCAAGTGAACCGACCGGTTCAACCGCCGAACCGCTTCATCGGTTTTACCGGTCAGAATCTTGGTGACAAAAATATACAGCCAGATGGAGAGGGCTGGGATTCAGCCCTGCAACTCTTGGTGCAAAATTAAATGTTGATCCAGTTGTGCTACTACCAATTTGTGTAATATGAGCTACAAGTCTCATTATTAAACACTTTCGTAGTGTTTAGTTTTGAAACTAATCATTAAATAATGTTCATAACTATTAAAAATCACTCGTATTATACTTAAATAATTTATATTTCTGTACAATAATATTCTTTACTTGTTATATATAATTTTTTGTTTGAATACATTAGAATAAATATATAATTATAATACCATTAATGGTTTCTATTTATAATAATTCTATTTCTTAGACACCGGTTCGATAACGGGTTTATAACTACTTGATAGCGGTTAAACCAATAAAGTGCGAGCCGCTTATAATACCGGTTCATATGGCGGTTCGGTTCTAACAACATTGGTTTGAATGATTTGTTACAACTTTTGGTGACAGATGAAATGAATTTGATATTGTTCATGGTTAAAGTGATAAATTTAGTCCTAAATTAGTATATTATACATATCGTTTATGTAATAACTCATGAACTGTTCTATCATTGGTTGAACAAAAGTTCTATAACGGTAAAGGTTGTCAAACCGATTTATACTATTGAGCCGGTTTAGCAAGTGGAATGGTTCGACTACTGATACAACCGATTGTGTCGGTTTAACAAAATGTGTAGAAATGTGAAAACCATAAAAATCAATTGAATTAAATCATATTAATATTTAAATAAAATTTACTTAGAATTCATATTCATATTTAAATAACTTACAACATTCCAAATACAATAACAAATACTTATATTTAAATACATAATTTAATATCAATATCTAAATCTTTATACTTAAATTCAACAAAAACACAGATATTTATCTTTTAAAGTCAGAAAATAAATAATAAATTAATTATTCATGAATTAAATGCAATAAAATAATGTCATTTTGCTTAGATATCGTAAATCGATCACGCCGGTTATACCAGTAGTATTCACGTCGGTTTCATTGCCAAAATTGGTTGAACCAAATTCAACTAGCCTGAATTTCACCGGCATGACAACATCAATAACAGTTAACCACTGAATCATGAATCACTAACATTTTGAGTTGAACATCCCATCTAAACAACAATTATAATCGGGTGATATTTGTGATATAAAAAATGCAAAGTGATTTTGCAAAGCACTTCTCACTCCTCCCATCTACAATTAATATGGACATCTAGATCTGATTTATTGCCCTTCTCCCATAACTCCCACCCACATTTCCCCATTTGCATTGCACTTCTTTAATGGGTTATCTTTGGTATAAAAAAAATACAATAAATAAATATATTCGACAAAATAAATAAAAAATATGAAATATCCAAGATACAAGGGGAAAGTCATTATAAGCTTATCCAGTAGAAAACCCTCCAATCTTCATCCATTAACTGACCCCACCCCACCACCAATTCTATAAAATTATGAGCAAAGCAAAACTAGAAAATGCCAGAAACCCCAAAATTTCCTGCACGAGACGCCTCTTTTTTTTCTCGCTCTTCCCCACTCTGCACAGCACACTAACCGCCTCCCTCCTCGCGTCACCATTTCCCTCTCCTCTCGATCCTTCCTTCCCTGCCTTTCTAATTTCTCACACTTCCTTTTTCTTCGTCATCCAATCCCCCATATCTCTGGTTTCCCTTCCATTCCACTTCTTCTATCCTCCCCTTTTTCCATACGTGCGGAATCCCAGTCCCCCTGTCTGCCGTGAGAAAAGAAAAGAACAGAAAAGGCAGAATGAAACCCCGTCGGTGCAAAAAGAAAACAGAGGTCGAAACTGTCACTCAACAACGACCACAAGATCCGTTTGCTTCTGAACTCACAATTCTCCGCTTCACTTGACCATCCGTCTCTTTCCAATTTTCTTTCCTTATAATTTCAGAGATTTTTGTGGATCTCCCTCAGTCAGTTAAGATTGGTTTATTCGTTCCATCTCCTTCGCCATGGACCTGAGCTTGGTCAAGAAAACGGGCCTCCTCAACTACACTCGCAAAAACAAGAACTGGGTTCTTCTCCTGGCGGCACTGGGTTTCTCTTCCTACGGCGCGTACAAAGTCTACAACTCGCCCTCCATCTCCATGAGGCGCAGAAGATTGCTCAGGCTTCTCGGAGCTTTCCTCTCCATGGGCGATGCAATCTCCAATTCCGCAGAGACAATCAGCGTCGTCTCCAACGAATTCAAGGACTTCATCAAATCGGAGTCCGACCGAGTCCCCAACAGCATGAATCAGATGTCGAAACTCTCCAGGTCAAACGAATTCTCCGAATCGGTCGTCATTTTCACGAAAGCCCTAACCGTCGGGATCTTGACCGGATACCAACCCACTTCCAATTCAGGTCCGGGATTCATGGACAGCGTAATCGACAAGCTCGCAACTCCATCTGGGTCGGGCTTCGTTTCGGCAATCGTCGGCAGCTTCGCTCGAAATCTGGTCGCGGCCTATTACGAGTGCTCTTCAGAACAGGGCAGCGGCGGCTCTGCTTCAGAATTGATGGAATTGCTGTGCAGTCCGAAATGTAAAGACCTAATCGCCGACTGCACTCAGCTGTTCGTCAGCACCGCCGTCGCGGTTTACCTCGACAAGACGCTCCACATCAACTCTTACGATCAATTGTTTGCCGGGTTGACAAATCCGAAGCACGAGGACCATGTCAAGGATCTGATGGTTTCGGTCAGCAATTCAGCAGTGGCCACTCTGGTGAAGTCGTCCCACGCCGCCTTGACGGCGGAACCCAAGTGGAAGTCGTCGCGGCGGAAATCATCGGCGGAGGGGGAAGGTGGAGACAATTGGGTGGGGAAGATGTCGTCGACGCTGGCGGTGCCGAGTAACAGGAAGCTCGTGGTGGATGTGAGTGGGAAAGTGATGTTCGAGGCGGTGAGGTCTCTGCTGGAGTTTGTGGTGGAGAGGCTGCGGGAATGCGTCGGCGCTGTTCATCAGGCAGTTGTGGAGAATGGGTTTGAAGCTGCCAGATACGTGACGGCGAAATCGTATGCTGTGACGGATTTGTGCCTCTCTTTGTGCTTGAGTGTGCTGGACTCTGTGACTTGGATTCTGGTACCGGTGTGATGGCTGCGAATTTGGCTTGTATAAAGATACGCTTGTTGTATTCCTTCTCATGTTGTTTCATTCAGATGCAAGAAAAGAACCTGTTAATTTGGTTGATCAGTGGACAAAATCTGCTTAAGTTTGATATAAGGTCTTATAGAAATGTCATAAAACAACTTGTATAGTTGATTCTTTTCTTGTAAAATGATAAGATCGCCAGAAAATACCGCTTTGTAAGGACACCTTTTTACTCTTTGATTAAAATGATGTGATGTTTCGAGTATTAAACATGGCTTGAACTATTTGAAAATTTTAAATAAGACTTAAACAACAATAATCTCGTTAATTATTGTCGAAGGAAGAATCTAAATTACATACATACCTTTGTCTCTTTGGAGAATAAGGATTAATTCTTCTTCACTGCTGTTTATGGATCAAATGAGGAAAAGGAAAGACTCAGCACTTATAAAAGTCTGAGTAACTGGAAAGTTCAGGGGTTCCCTTGGTTGGTGGGTGGTGATTTTAATGCAATACTGCATCCATCTTAGGCATCGAATGAGGTAACCATCTCAAATAGTACCAATGACTTCAAGGAGTGGGTAAGGCAAATGGAGGTGTTTGATCATACAACAACATGACGACTATTTACTTGGGCAACAACTTGGGAATCCTATAGCAAGGAAACTAGACAGACTTATGGTCAATGTTGATTGGTTAGTAAAGTTTCCATACTCTATAGTGAAATTTCTAGCTCCAGATTTTTCTGATCACAGTGGTATTCTTATTACCCTTCGACTTCCCGCTAAAAGGTTTCCAAAGCCTTTTAGATTTTATGATATGTGGTTACATCATGATTCTTTTGCTGATATTCTTAAAGAAAATTGGCAGGTTGAAGTTAGGGGAAATGGATTGTTTGGAATTAAACAGAGTTTGTATCTTCGAGCTTAGGAAACTTAATAAAGAAGAGTATTGGGACATTTCTGGGAGATCAAGGGATAAGGAAACTGAAATGAAGGCAGCACAATTGCTAGCTCTTGAAGAACCCTCAGTCCAACGCTTTGTTGAGGTAAAAAAAAGTCACAGAAGAGTACGTCCACTTGAGGAAGGCTGAGGAATCTTTTTTCAGGCAGAGGTCTAGGATTGGATGGTTAACACTTGGAGACCAAAACTCCTCTTACTTTCATAACTCGGCTAGGATCAAAACAGCTAGAAAGCAAATAAGGAAACTGATTCCCTCAGGAGGAGAGGTGCTGACTAATGTTAAAGACATAGTTGATGTGATAGAAACCTAATTTTTAGGCTCTATCATAATTATCATTATTATTAATATTAGAAATTATCTAGATATGGTTAGTAGTCTTTGAGTCATATTAGGATAGTCTATTAGGTTTTTCCAGTCATTCATTATAAATATGTACTTTGCGTTTTATTCAGGAGGAATAAGAAGAATAATAAGAAAACTCTCCAAAACTCTATTCTCCCAATCCTCTCAATTCTCGTTCCCACTCCCTCTAAAGGCCTAGGCCAATACTCTATCTTTCTCTTCTCAAATCCCTAATTCTGTTCTTAATCCCTAAATCCCCAATTCCCGGTAGAGCCTGTAATTGGAAGTACAGAGAGGAGAATCGCGCAAGGAAGGCCGGGATTCTCGACGGTTTCCTTGGCGGGTGTATTGGGCTCCCGCGACGACATCGAGCGACGAGGACGCGAGGATGCGGAGGTGGCCGGAAATCGGCGGGTCTTCTCGGCGCCGGGTGGTGCGTTGACGTCGAAGGGCGAGTCGGAGAAGTTCCAGCCGACGGATGGAGGGAGGAAGGAAAGCAGCGGCGGGCCTCTTTCCTTTGCAACCCTAGGCAGCCGAAGAGTGGGATGGGTTGGGCACCCATCGGGCCAAAAGTTTCAAGACGAGTGGACTGTGAGGCCAATGAAGGTGGATCGGACAAGCCCGTACCCATGGTTGGACTTCGCTGGGTCGGAGATTGGGCCAAAGACAAATCAAGTGAGCGGCCCACGTCTTGAAATTAATTGGTTGAAACAAAGGATTGGTGAAGGGCCGAGCAAGCCCAACGGATTTCATGGGCCGCGTTTGTGCTGCCTTTTGAAGTGTGTCAACTTGAAAGAAAAACAAGAAGAAGACATGGTGAGCTTAATAAGTGGGCTTTTAAATAAGTCCGGCCCATTCACGTTGGCAGACATGTGGAGTAGGGAGAAACTTAACTTTGGTTTGGGCCGCCACCCTATCTTCCAAGCATTTGTGGCCCAAGTCAAAGAGGAAGGAAAAGAAGGCGGGGAAAAGTTATGGGCTGTTTTCACCACCAAGCCCACAGAGAAATTTATGGAATATAGTTTTGAAGTCCTCGAGTTGGAGCACAAGGAAGAACAATTCTCCGATTTTTATTTCGTGGACTTCGCAAGAGAGAAAGAAGAATTGTTCGGCTATGAAGAATGTGACATGTGTCACATTGTTCGAAAAGGGTCAAGGAAGGTTGGAATTGTGCGAGATGAGTTCGTTCGAGGGGTCGAACAAGATTGGAAGAAAAGGAAGCGCAAGAGATCGAGGAGCCAAGGTGCAGTTTGCTGGGATGGCGTGGAGAAGTGGGACGAGTCGGTCAACCTTGAGGGCAAGGTTGTTCTCAAGGGGGAGGGGATGATAGAAACCTAATTTTTAGGCTCTATCATAATTATCATTATTATTAATATTAGAAATTATCTAGATATGGTTATTAGTCTTTGAGTCATATTAGGATAGTCTATTAGGTTTTTCCAGTCATTCGTTATAAATATGTATTTTGCGTTTTATTCAGGAGGAATAAGAAGAATAATAAGAAAACTCTCCAAAACCCTATTCTCCCAATCCTCTCAATTCTCGTTCCCAATCCCTCTAAAGGCCTAGACCAATTCTCTATCTTTCTCTTCTCAAATCCCTAATTCTGTTCTTAATCCCTAAATCCCCAATTCCCGATAGAACCGTAATCCCACGTTCTATCATGATGAAGCAGTGATCTACTATAAACATCTGTTTGGAGTGGTAAATTCTGAGGTTCAATTGGATGAACATGTTATTGAGAAATGTTTGGTTGGAAGGCTATGTGCTATAGAGCAACTACAACTGTGTGGTGAGGTCTCTAGCCAAGAAATATATACTGCTCTCTTTGATATGGACCCCTCAAAGGCCCCTGGACCAGATGATTGGAATGCAAAGTTCTATCAGAAGAGCTGGGGGACCATTGGCGCGAGGATTACTGAGGGGGTTCAACAGTTTTTCACTAACTATACTCTGCCAAGAGGTATGAATTCTGCTTCACTAACTCTGGTTCCTAAAACACCGAATGCAGATCAGTTGAACTATTTTAGACCAATTCCTTGTATAAATGTTATCTATAAAATCATCTCTAAAGTCTTGGCCAATAGACTTAAAACTATGATTCCTTCTGTTATTAGTAGGAACTAGTTCGCTTTTATCCAGGGTCGTAGTATAATTGAGAACATTCTAATGGCACAAGAGATTGTGCATAACTATCAAAACAAGAATATTTTATCGAGATGTGTAGTGAAAGTAGATCTGAGAAAGGCTTTTGACTCGGTTGATTGGAACCATTTGATGTGTGTAATGAGGAAAATGGGGTTTCCCCTGAGGTTTTTGAACTGGATAGAAGTTTGTCTGAGCTCTGCTACGTTTAATATTTCTGTCCATGGGAGTTTATTTGGCTTTTTCCTGCTGCAAAAGGGGTTAGACAAGGGGATTCCTTGTCTCCATACTTGTTTACTATTGCTATGGAACCCCTAACAGGCATGTTAAATGATGCGGCCTTTGAGGGTTTTTTGCCATATCATCCACAATGCAAGAAAGTGGGTCTGACTCACTTATGTTTTGCGGATGACCTCTTGATATTTTCTTAAGGATCAGGAGTTCCATTGAATGGCTTGAGGAGCACTTTGAATGAATTTTATAAGTTGTCTGGTCTTCAGTGTAATCCGGATAAACGTGAGGTGTTTTTTGGAGGGTATGCCCATCTTTTCAAGGAAAATGCTCTCAGAGTTTCAGGGTTTAAGGAAGGGGTTTTGTCTGTACGATATCTTGGTCTCCCACTGATTTCTGGAAAACGATCGAGTCATGAATGCGCTGTCTTAATTGATAAGATTACTAGTAGGATCAGGAGCTGAAGGGCAAATAGGCTTTCTTATGCTGGCAAACTGCAGCTGGTTGAGTCAGTGCTTTATTCCTTAGTACACTACTAGATGGCCATTTTCCTCATTCTTAAGAAAGTCCTGAAAAATATTCAAAAGATTTGCTCAGACTTTATTTGGCATGGAGAGAAAACAAGGAAAGCAAGGGTTGCTTGGGACATTCTGGCATTTCCTAAAAAATAAGGGGGTCGGGGGTTGAAGGATCTAGTATCATGGAATGTGGCTGCTTTGGCTAGGGGTGCTAAACGGTCAGTAACCGGTGACAATGTTTATCTCAATGGACTTGTTGACAATGAGACAGTTGGGACTTGGGTCTCCAATTATTTCCTTCGGCGCTAAATAATTGCCGCCCTCACCGGTAACCGGTTAAACCGGAATCTTCCACTTCGCTTCCGTTAGCCGATACCGAGAATTATCAGTATACCGCATACCGATTGCAACAGTTTGGTAATGTAACCGGTGTCCCGAATTTCCGGCTAGCACCGAAGAAAATAATTGGAGACCCAAGTTCCAACTGTCTCGCTGTCAACAAGTCCATTGAGATAAACATTGTCCTCTTGTCCATTTGTCTTGTTGGCTTGTCCTCTTGTGTCTGGTAGTGAAAGAAATAAAGACAATATATATATATCTGTCAATAGTATATCATGAGTTCATCACAAAGACACAAACTCACTCCTTTCAAGTTTCACTGCTCGAAGAAAATAGAGAAACGGCCAACGGCGAAGGGGCTTGACTGAAAGTCTGAAACAGAGCTTGGCGGAGAAGATGACTGGTCTGGATTTGGGCTGATGGGTTGTGTCTCTTGGCCCGTGGGTGAAGCTTGCGCCAGTGATAGAGACGACGGGGTTTGACGGAAACAGAGCAAAGGCGACGAAGCTTGATGGAGACCGTGCCTGGCGGAGAGGATGACTGGATGAGGGCTGTTGGGTCGTGTCTCTTGGCCCTTGCGTGGAGCTTGCGCCAGCGACGTAGACAACGTTTAAATTCGAATTCAATGAACGAAGGAGCCGAGGAGGGATTGACGGTCATGGTGCAGTAGCCAGGGGATAGAACAATAAATGTCTGATTTAGATGTTTAGTTAATTACTTAGGGGTTAGGGCTTTTTGGGTGGCCGATGTTTTGTTGCTACAAATCCTAATCATTGTTTTGTTCGTTGATGCCTCTTAATTTCCCTTTGCCAGTCGGTGTCGGAATACCGATCGGCCGACGCTCAATGCCAGCTTCGATCCCGGTATATCGCTAGGGAAATATTCTCCTCCGATCACCATTTTCTTCGGTTAACGATTTAACCGATTACCGCGGTTACTAGTACGGTTATCGGTTAAATCGTTAACCGCATTACCGATTAGCATCCCTAGCTTTGGCTAGGCTGATTTGGTTACTTCTTCTCCAAGGAGGGAGTTTCTGGGTTGCCTAGATTTCTGGGTATCGATTCAGGGGAGTTTCCGTTTGGGAGGCTCGTATTACTTCCTGTGGATCTTGGATCTGGAAGCAGATTCTTAAGATTCGCTCTTGGTTGAGATTTAGAATGCAGGTAGAGCAGGGTTGTGTTAAGTAGCAGGGGAAGAAGTTGGAAAAGTACTCGATTTCAATTGTATGAGAATCAATATGAAAGAAGCAACCAAGGGTTGCTTGGTGGAAAGTGGTATGGAATAAATATATGTTGCCCAGAAACAGTGTGCAGGTTTGGTTGATTCTGCTGGACAGGATTAACACAAGAGACAAGCTCAAACTTTTGGGTATGATCAATGATATTTCTTGTTCGCTTTGTGGTTTGTCAGAGGAAAGCAGAAATCATTTATTATGTCAGTGTGAGTATGTGCATGAGGTAGCTGCCGTGGTGCTGGGATATAGGGTGCAAATCCTACAAGAGTGCTCTGAATGTTGCTGTATATGATTCAAAGAATCAAGGATTAAGGTAGTTGTGGTTTGATTGAAGCCTCAGTTTGGAGTTTGTGTGTCTGTTTTGTATGGAAGGAACGACGTCGACGTGTATTTCGGGAGCATCCTCGAACTGTTAAGGTGCTGGCAGAGTTGATCAGAGATGAGATGTGACTCTATGCTTGTGGCCATCCTGAATTTCTTGCCCAGCTTAAGCTAACTACTAGCTGTTGTCAATGCATAGAGTAGTAGTTTTGGTGTTTCTCTTGATGTAAGGGGATTTTGTGGGCGTTTAGCGTGTGTATTTTTCGAACTCTTGTGCTGGTTTTAGCCAAGAGGGTGCTTAATGATAAAGTTCTAATTACCGGAAAAAAAAAACATTATTTGTGCTCTTCCATTTATTTGATTGATGGTCATGCTGGTCAAGAATTACTTCCAGAATGTTTGCCAGCAATGTTCTAGGAATGTTGAAGGAAGTTTTCTTAGAGTGCTAACGACTAATTGAGAAGACGAATACATTGCTAGAGCTGTGTTGTTAGCGATCTATGATAGCATCAAACATTTGTTTCAAGATTTGTTTTGAGTAGGGATGGCAAGTTTGCCCATACCCATGGGTTTCTTACTATCCAACCCAATTGGGTTGGGTATGAAATCCAAATAGATGGATATGGGTAGAGTTTGATGGGTTTGTACCCATACCATTTACTTTGGGTTGAGTTGGGTTTATATCAAATGGATTTGGGTTTGTACCCATGCCCAAACACAAATTACAGTTGGGTACCCAAACTTAATAGATATGCATATTTAGTACCTAAATTTAATTTTTTTTGCATATAAGTCCTCAAAATATCGATGGAAAATTACGTTTTGGTACCTAAATTTTTTATCTTACATTTTTTGTACCTAAACTTTTCAAGTTTTACAAATAGGTCCAATTTTTGCATGTGTAGTTAAAACACCCTCAAGTAAATGGATATCCATATCCAACACATACCCTTTTAGATTATGGAAGCAATATTCATACCTTACCCAAACTCATCTATAAACCCCCAAATCCATATGCACTTCACCCATACCCATACCCAACCCATTATCAATGGGTCTACTTGGGTTTGGGTATAATTACCCATGGTAATTTGCCATCCCTAGTTTTATCCCTAGTTTTGAGAAGGTGATTCTTCTATGGAATTTTCAGCAGTAATTCAGTTCATCCGCATGGATAATAATTCCAGCTCCTGCTTCTCAACTATCCTCAATATTCCTTATTTGATATGAGATACATGGAATGCTCTACTAGACTACTACCAACTTGAATAAGAAAGACAAGTTTGGTGCAGCATTAGCTAACTTAGATGTTACAGGTACTTATGTTTTTGGACTCCCGTACATCTTTGTGCTATTGAAGTGAATCTTTGCACAAATGGGATGAATCCCATGACGCACTCGAGGACGAAAACCTTACAATGCCTCCAAAGTTCTGCTCTAATGACGGAGCCAATATGGGAGAATGAAGGAGAAGTCTCTAAACTAATGAATCCTCTTGAATGAGCATCAGTTTGAGATAGTGAAGGCCAGCTACTCATTTGGCTTCCTGTCCATAGAAAGCCAAGTCCGGATGCCACAGGAGCAGTTGGAAGATATGAAGTGATATGGGTGACGAGTAGCTGCAGCATTAGAGAGGGTAAGTTCTGAAACTAAATGCTCAATAAAAGCCGCAGTTGGGTCTATCCATCAGCAAGTATTTAATGACACAAAACAATCGTCTGAATTCTCAGTGATTCGAGAACAATGCACCAACGGTGGGAAGAGAGTAAAACCATTTCTGGAATTTATCCATCAGAAGATTTGATGAGCTTATTTTACAATATCCTTTGACATGTACATCTCCTTAGAGATCGGTTGCACTGCAATTGTGCTTCAGAGTTTGCAGGTAATCGTCACTTTTTGCTGTAGAGGGAAGATAGCAGAGAAACTAGAGTGCAAGTTGACTGTCTTCGGTTGAACGATGGGATTGCAGTGTATAAAGTCTACATGTACATCTCCGCCCCTTGGACCACGAAAATGGAGGCAAAAGAAAAGGTGCGAAAGTTCACACGAGAAGCGTAAAGATGAAAATCTAGTAAGGTCTTAGGAACTCTGCCTGCAGTAGATATTGTATAGTGAGAGGAGCAATGAGCCTATATGAAACTATGCAAACCTGTCTTCACCAAGCAGTCTGGAGAACGATTCCCACTCCTACTATATAAAAACGGGACCGGATGAAAATGCAAGTGATAGGGTGGTGAAGACTGGTTAGAACTGTTATTCACTGCTCGAGTTTTCGTTGGTCTCTTTAGCAGCAGCAGCAGCAGTTGCTGCCTCTTCTTGAAGCTTCTTTTTCCAGTACTCATCAAGTGGTTGGCCAAATATTGCCTTCCCAGAAACAACTCCAACGCTGCAGAAAGATCCACCAAACAATCAGAACGTTAAAAAATGAACTGGAAAACAACCCAAAATGCAGAATTTCAATCATTAAAGGATGATAATCCCAAACACCAGCCAGAAACTAGTCCAAGAACAAGGCTTTTTCAAAGACCAGCACTCTTCAACATTGACAATTGATGTGCAAAAGGAATGCAGCTGAAACCAAACAAAAACCATCAAAGACTGACTCTTTGTTAAATCTACTTAACATCTACAAGTTATAGAAAGCACCCAACTCAACAATGAGGTCTAATAACTTCGAAACCGGTCTCCTCGCATTCCAGCATTAGCAAACATTTCAGGAAATCAATCTTTCATTGTGATTGTTCTTCAACCAGTCGGCAGACAATTAACTGCTGAAGCCAAACTAGGTTTGCAAACCCTTGCATCGATTCTAAGATAAGCCCTATCAAGACAGAGCGGTGTCTACTCTTATTCTGCAGCCCGTAGCCCAGCGGTTTCAGCTATTTCTGTTACCTGGTTGGTTCATGTTCCTGGGGAATTCCTTCCCTGTTGTTTTCCATTTCCGCGTTGTCCCTTTCTTCTCTCATGGATATAAATTTCGTGTATCCCCTTCAATCAAATTTTCTACTCAGCATTAAAACATAGCAAAAAAAAAGAGAACACGATAGAGAGTTCATAACTAGCACCGAACACTCAAAAGAAATAAGTCCGAGAAATTTCGCAGCCAAAACCCCAGAAACCCATTGCGATGAACAACGGAAGCAGAAAGAAATGAGGTTTTTCGAACGCAAGAAACGAAACCCAGAAGGGGTACACTGGGGGAACTTACATTACTGCTCCAATCACCAAAGGGAACGAAAGAAACCTGCTCCTGCGGGAGAACATCTCCGCTAACGCCTGGTTACTTATGAGTTTTCCCTAAACCCCTGAAAAATCGAACAATTGCTTCTGTACAAAATCCCAGATCTCGTCTCCCAGTTGTTTTCTGCTTTTAGTTGAATCTCATAATCGTTTCCTTGCTTTGCTAGGTGCTGTTTTAGAGTTTAGGTTTGCTCTAGCCCACCAATCCATGATGTGGGCTGGGCTCAACTTCGATGGATCAATACACATATGCAAGTTTCGCGTAAAATCCAATCCAGCTATAATTCTAAAAATTTTTTTGGTTAATATCACCAAAAATATCAATCTTTACGTACCGTTTGATATAAATGGATTCCATAATTTTTGAAAAATTCAGTTTGAAATGAAACATTTTTGTTTGGTATTGAAAAGAATTCATTCACAATTTTAAAATTTAAATTCTATGGAATTGGAGCTAGTTATAGCAATTCCGAAGAATTGAGATGAAATTTTCAAATGAATTCCACAAGTATTTACTAACGATAATAGAATGAGATAATTATCCTCTTTTATTAACTAAATAACTTATACATATACATACCAAACACAGGAATTCATTTGACAATGAATTCTACATGACAATTCATTTTATTTCTAAAGATTTGAATATGGCATACCAAACACAAGATTTCATTTGACAATGGATTCTATACCGTAATTCATTGTACAATGAAATGAATCCTCGATTCATTAGGTACCAAACGGTCTGTTAACAAAATTGGCATTTGTATTCCATAATTTTCAATAGGGGTGGCTATACGGTCCGGTCTGATTAAATTGGCCCGAATTGATACGGTCCCGGTCTGGTCTTTTCGGGGATATAATGACCAAAAATTGGATTGGATAAAGTCCGATCTTGATCCGGTCCAGTCCCAATTCGGTCTTGATTTTAGATTGACCTTGTGGAAATTTGAGTGACATGTGACCTCAAAAGGTGAGTAGTTGGTTAAGTTTGGGTGTTGGCTTCTCTTATCCGGTCTTTATCAGGTTTTCGATCTGGTCCCAAACGATTTTTTACCTCAAATTTATGCCCGAATATGAGATTGAATTTTTTGCTATCCGGTTTCGGTTCGATTTCAGTCCGGGTTATACAGTCCAGTTTCGGGTAGACCCAAAAAGCCCGGACCAAATAGCCAGCCCTAATTTTCAATGTCATTTGTGTATCAAATCGTCTCTTTAATTAGTTGCACCATTATGGATAGTCGTATTACCTGTCAACGCCCAATCAAGATTTTTATTACTTATTTTGAAATTGATCCTTGTTCTTATATTAATCAGCTCACTATCGAGCCACCTATTTATTACTCAGAAGTAGGATTCCTAACCTCATTATTAGGAGTGGGTTTCGTGACATCCTTACTAATTGTTTTCCCAGCGAGAAAAATAAAGGAAAGAGAATTGAATTTCGCACCTTTTTACTTCCAAACAGACGATTAACAAACACGGTCCACACCTCTTTGAACAAAGTTCAAACAAGGGTGTTCGATGTTCTTGGTGATCTATGAGACAAACTAAATTACATTAATTCTACTCCTATGGAGGTTCAGCGAGAGCTCCGAAAACTACAACTATGACTACATTTGCAGAGGATAAGGTAAAGATTAAAGGATAAAATTTGACAATAGGTTGTCTGGTGTGATTTTGGCGAACCCTTTCTCCGTCATCTTCACCTCCTATTTATTGCCACCAGAAGTAACTGCTTCGAGAAACTGCTCTGCTGACGTGGAGTGGTTGTTACCCTCTCAATTGCTTCGACGGTTACCTTGACGTTGGATGTGCCATGCCACCTTCTTCAGCCCTGAACCCCTCCTCTTGAGATTTCAGTCCCTGCTCTTGGTATCTCCTCCATAGCTTCGCTTGTCTATAGAGAAAAAATGGCTAAGGCATGTGGAATACCACGTGCCACATATGGGTGGGTATTTGAATCACATGAATTAAAAATGGCAAAAATACTTCACCAATAGGAGAGTAAAGAGACCACGTGCTCACATGACCCCCTTGCCTTGGCCATACCATGGGGGTGTACGTTGGTGACCCTCTCACCATACCATTAGGGGGCATCCCCCATGGGGTCATATGGATCACCCCACCACTATATCATCCTCATGAGAGCTGGCGTTGGTGACCCCTCACCCCCTGATCATACCATGGGGGTGCTATGTTGGTGGTCCCCAGACCACCTCATGGGGGTGCTCCTTCCACCCTCATCATCTTCCATACTTAGCCACATTTTACATCTTCTCCCCTCGCCTTAGCTAAATTCGGCCATCACCCCCTCACCATTTTATGGGGGTGGCAGTATGATGTGGTGGTATGATGGCTACCCCTCTTGCCACGTCCTAGGGGTGGTATGATGGTGGCCACCCCCCTTGGTACCTCCTGGGAGTGGCTACCATACTCCTTGCCTTAGCCATATTTGGCCATCACCCCCCTCACCACGTCCTGGGGGTGGTATGATGGTGGCCACCCCCTTACCATTTCCTGGGGGTGGTGGTATGATGGCCACCCCTCTTGCCACATCCTGGGGGTGGTAGTATGGTGGCCACCCCCCTTGGTACCTCATGGGGGTGGTGGTATGATGCTCACCCCCCTTTCCACGTCCTAGGGGTGGCTACCATACTCCTTGCCTTAGCCAAATTCGGCCATCACCCCCCTCACCATGTCATGGGGGTGGCGGTATGATGTCCACCCCTTTGCCACGTCATGGGGGTGGTGTTATGATGTCCACTCCCCTCTGCGTGTCATGGGGTTGGCTCCCATACTTAGTCAAATTTGGATATGCATGGCTCGCGTGGTGGCACGGAGTAATGAGCCCAAAAATCCAATCCTCATGGCCCACTCAACTTATTTAAACTGATATGATTAAGTTGGCCTTATAAAGCCATTTAATTCCTTGTTTTTAACCGATGTGGTACAAGGTAAATTTTGGGTGTAAAAACTAGTCAAGAGTAGGATTCATAACCTCCTTAAACTTTCTCATCGTGGGAAGTGAGGTGACTATATGTGTAGCTAGTTAAGCGAAGATTAAACGTGTTATTGACTTGCAGTTCAAGATTGATATGGATAATCTCCCACACAATGAGAGTCCTATCTTGATTAACTTGCTAAGTAACTTGTACTTGCTTAAGATGATCTCCAACACAATGGAAGATCTAAGCTTAAAACTTGTTGAATTTAGTATCTCATGCGTGTTAAACATATTTTCTCCATGTATTATTACCTTCCTCAAGATATAACTACTTGTTTGCATTAAAAAATATTTTTCTCATGAATGTAATGCCATGGATACTGAATTTAAATAACTGAGCATGAGTGAACTTAGTAATACACTATGCTATAGGGTTCAAATTAACTTGATAGGTAATCAAGGTAGTCTCTCCATAAGGCCTTTCAAACTCCACTACTTATATAGTGCAGATCTTGTGTTTAGGGAATTCTTATTTGAGGTTGAGGTTCCTCGAATTTGGTAAAATTGTTTGAGAAATAATTAAATAAAGCATGTATAAAACTAAAGAATGGTAAAGTAAATGAGAAAAGTAGTTTAGAGAAGTGATGTATAGGTAACGATCCCATAGAGTTTTCAGACTAATCGTTAAAATGATCAAAACATATATAAGAAATTGAAGACATTTGCACGGATCTCTCCACTCACTATTGTCCAATATGCTACCTCTTTGGTGGATCTATACCTGAGAGATGGAAAAGGGTGGCACATGGATAGGAACCATTCATGGTATCACGATTCACAAATTACCCATTGCATTATTTTCACTAGCAAATGATGTACCGTCCAAGGTTGTCAACAAATCATATAAATCACTTGTCTTACAATAGATTCATGTGACAGAAATAGGAATATGAACAGTAAAGATAAAGATAGTAAGATGAATGATATCAATCGAGGGATATATATATTAATAATCAAGCATCATACCTAGTCTTTGAACCTTTAGGGTTCACAAAAATACACAACAAATTGAACTAGCCATTTATGGGGACAAAAGACATACAAGACACCAGTTTGAGAGAGAGGAAACATAGATTTCGGATTTGGCAGATTTATTGCCAAAATGGCAAATTGGCCGCCAAGAATGGCGTCGATTTCTACTCGGGAGCTTTTGGACAATTTTCTCGTTATGGAATTTCTCTAGAGGCAGAGCAATCCCCTTTAAAAGATGTGTCGAAGTAGAGTCCGATGAGGTGTATTTATAAGGCCATTTATAATGTTTTCAAGAGGTTTTTAGTAGAATATCTCTCAAAACAGAATATCTTTGAATTATCTTATACTTGGGGCCAAAGGAATCAATATCATATAGTTGGATTCAGAAAATCCACCGCTTCATTTTCCGTGCATAAACCACCAAAATTGTCATGGGCACGGTACCAAACCCACCAAATTTGGGCCGTAATTTCTAGCTCCCTTTATGATTTCTAGCTCATGCGTTATGATGTTCAATGTAGTCAAAATCGGGATTTTGATCGTAAAATCGTCGGATTTTAGAATTTTACTTAGGGATTCCGATCCTGATTTTACTATAAAATTGGTGGACCTTAAAACCGTTCAAAATCGGGATTAAAATCGTTAAAATCGTACCAAAATCGGGATTTTGATCCTATGTGAACAAAATATGCAGTTTGAGACAATTCAAAAGAAGCGGAACTGTTTTGGTGGAAAGGGCACTGATGGCTATCTTCTCATATATTTTTTTCCTATTAAAAGAACATTTGAAAAGGAAAAAAACCTAATTAGAGTTCGGTCAATCCCTTTCCCTTCTTTTTGTTTAACTAATCGGTAAAATAGTGGTCATAATATTGTAAGTACGAAAGAATTAGCATCATCATTAACAAATTAATTGATTAATGAATATATTTGCACCAAACCAATGACATTAAAATTCTTATTGGAGTTCACTTATTCTTAGTTTTAAATCATGATTAATAGACGATGTCAGAATACTACTTTGAGTTCAACTTCATAAACACAACACTAAAAACAAGAGCCCCATGAGCTCTACCCGTTCCTCATAAATTAATTTGAGTTACACATTAAATAACAATTAAAAGGATAATTTTGGAACATTAATCTTGAAAATTATCACTTTAAATGTTATGTCTTTGTGTTATTAATGATTTACCTTATTAATATTATTATATGTTAATTTCTATGTGGTACTTAAAATCCTACGATTTTACGATTCCGATTTTAACACATTTTTCGATTTTAAGTAAAATCCAGATTTTGATCGCTTTACCAATGCTCATACAAGATGCTACTATAGTTTTAATGGTCTGAAATACTAAAATACTATCCGAAAAGACCTCAAATGTATAAAGACACACCGGCTTCTAAATGCATCTTAGAGAAAATATCAAACAAATACAAGTTAAAATCGTTAAAACGGTATGAAATGACACAAAACATGTCATAGAAGGAGACGGAAATAGCATATTTTACGTATCATTACTTTACTCAACATGAAAATTGGAAATTGAATAACTTGAATGTAAGCATGGACGGAAAATAACTTGAACTTCAAGGTAAAAATGAACAATAAAATTTAGATAAAATCAAGGTTGTATTTCTCAGGTAACTAACATATAATCAAAAAATTAATATAAAAATTCAAAATTGCATTTTTTAGATATATTCTATCTCAGTCATTTTAAGACAATTTCTCGTCTTGATTAAACATAAATTCAAAGTAGGGATGTTACAACTTTTCCGATAAATCTCCTGTCAATAAATCAGTCATAGGATTATTTGAAACCAATAACGATTAAAAAAATTCATAGGGACCCAGCATATTTTTACATGTAAAAAGAAGCCATCAATGGATCTGCCATGAAAATTAACTAATCAAAGACACAATGATAAAGGAAGAGACCAAGAGGGAAATAATGGCGTATCTGTAGTGATGGCAAACATATAGGGTGGGGTGTGTGATTATTTCAATACTATATCCACTTCGCATCAAGTACGAGTTGTACGAGTAATATCCGTGCAGGTACGGGATTAGACGAGTCAACTCATTTTCACATGTTATTTGAAAAATACATGCAAAATGTTACTTTTTAATATAAAATGAATTGAAAAAACTTTCGGGACCTCCTACCATGGCTTGAAGTTACTATAATTTAACCTTTTTGACATGCTATAGCAGGTTTCACAGGTTCCATTAGGTAAATCTAATGTTTATTACGTAACAATTACGTAATACTTGTTAGTCTTACATAACAGTTAAACTAGAAGCGTTACGGAAGGTTTCCATAACGGCTTATCATTTTACTTAACGCTAGGTTAATATTCATTACGTAAAAGCATCATCTATTACTTAAGAATTCTGTAATAATATTTTACAACCGTTACATAAAATACATGCTCATTACATAAAGGTTACGTAACAAAGGTTATTTCTTACGTAACAGTTAAATTAGAAATGTCACGTAAGACTTCCGTAATGACTTACCACATTACGTAACTTGGTTAATATTCTTTACGTAAAATGACCATCCATTACGTAAGGCTTCCGTAATGACACTTTACAATTGTTACGTAAAGTATGCATCTATTACGTAAAAGGTCATGGAATGATAGTTATTTCTTTCGTAATAGTTAAATTAGAAGCGTTACGTAAGTCTTCCGTAATAATTTAACAGATTACGTAACGAAAGGTTAATATTCATTGCGTAAAATAAGTGTCTATTACGTAAGGTTTCCGTAATAACATTTTTCAACTATGTTTATCCTTACATAACCATTACGTAATACCTATTGTATTTTACGTAATGCGACTTGTGAAACCTATTATAAAAGGTCAAAAACATGAAGTTACAATAACTTCAAGGTAGTGTAGGAATTTAAAAAACGTTATGAATGTAAAATAGTGATAATAGAATGTGTAATTGAGTTAACTAGTTGAAGAAAAACCAAAGCAGGAGAAATATGAATAGATATTGTAAGCAACCGAGATAAAGTGGGCCGACATGAGATGGAGCAAGACGGATATGAAGTAGATATTCATGCTCCGACTCACGCTACTGCAAATCAGATAATATCCTCGCCATCGTGAATCAGTCTAATAATATTCAGAAGACGAGTCCAAATTGTCATCCCACCCTCAACTTAAATTCAACCGCGCACACAGTAGTGCCTGATGTTCGCGTCCAAAGTTGACGAATTGGGTAAAAGTTCTAGCCGAAGGTGAATGAAAACTAAGAGCAGGCCGGTCCAACCAGCCCCTGAGACCCAGCATTGGCCCTGTGGCTCGAAATGAAACTGAGAAGTCCAAAACATGTGAAACCATACAATATCCCTCGTCACTCCGTTCATAACAGAAAACCTTTATTTTGATGATATAGAATAAAATACTAAACGAAGAAGATCAACTTCTGAGCAATCTTATTATGTTTCTGGGAGGCAGAAAAAAAAAAATTGATGTTCATGCATGGCTCATTAATTATTATGTTCCTGGGTGTAGATGTAATCGAGATGAGCTTCTAGAGTTCTTCTCGTCAAGCAATCATTTTCTCCCAGCCCTTCGCACAGATCTTGCTCCACCGTATCATGTCCTTCCACCAGCTAAATTTGTCCGCACAAACACATAACAAAAACTATCATTGAATGAATCCTGTAACACCCTTATCTTTATTAATAATGAAGAACAAACAAATCTAATAGGAAACCTTGTGGGAGGTGCTGGCAGCAAAGGAAGCAGGATCGAGCCGGTCGATCATGGGATCGAACGTATGTCCCTCGAAACTCTCCTCAGAAGTGGTCACGTCGGCCGGAACAACGACGACATCAGGAGCTTCTGCCGGGCCAGGGCGGGAGGTAGCTCCGCAGGAGCTAAGGAGGAGGGCAGCCATGAACAAGGTGGCGATCACCTTCGTGGAAGCCATGTTCTGCAACTTTTTTTTTTTTTTTTTTTTGTGAATTAGGAAAGTATGGCTTGTTAGGTTTTATCTTCTCTCAATTTCTACGGTGATTATATTTAGAGAGGAATGAAGAATGGAAATTGGTGGGGGCCAAACAGATCCAGGGAGGCAATCAGCTAAATCCTAAAGGTGGCGAACAAACGGTTGGGTGATAGGTTACGAAGGATAATTATCTCTCGTAAAATGGGGTTGATTTAGTGTATGCGATGGGTAATGAATCATGATAGATCACCTTATTAAAACTATGTCGCAAGCATATAGCTCATCCATAGATTGATGTTGAAAATGTACAACGAAATTTGAAGTGCGTGCCAGAAGTGAGTAATTAATTTGGTCTTTTAGATCGCGAGGTCTCCATGGAGGGAAACACTCTTCTATAAAATCTCGGGCTAATGCGCCCGCCTCCCACATTTGAAAAGTATCGGTGGTTGGGGATTTAGTCACCTCTGGATTTCCCCCAGACAGAAAAAGGAAAAAGACATAGCCGTATTACGTCGGGCTCTACACATGGATGTTGCGCAAAATCACATATTTCCATAAACATTATGATATGTTTGATCAAAATTTCATTATCACGGCCTTAAAAGTTCATAACCATATGATCACTGAAGTTCTTAGTTTGAAGTTCAGTGCAATAATTGAAAGCAAGCCGATGCTGAAAGCTATGTTCGCAACTCGAGGCCGTGGTAGTCATAGAGAATTTGTTCAACCATGCTCCTAGAACCTCTCTTCTCCTGGTAGTGACCTGGATTAAGAGGAATTGGTGGTACCACACTGATATACACATGACTTTGGTCAAGCTTTTAATTTTAAGATTAATTATCTTGCCTCTGTTTTATGATGGGCTCATCATACACAAAAGACAGATAAAGAATATGTATGTGAGAGGCATATGCCCAAATTGGTGACTGGGTCGCAAGTTTATGTCAGTAAACGGCGCCATAGCCGCCGAAAATCCTCTTCTGGTTTTAAGCCCTACACGCTGACTCAAGCACACAGACTCAACATAACATGAAAAAAGAATAAGAAAAATAAGTAAATACGAGACAAAAAAATAAAATTTAACAGAAGTAGAAGGGCAAGAACTGACATTTGGGCTACTAGATTACGAAGGAATTTGACACACTAAACGTTGATTCTATCCCTCCTAGGTTAGGGGAACGGATCAGGTCAGTAACTCTATGGTCAATAATAATGAGTAATCTGTCCACATCAGCATGACATTAGTATCCTCTCTCTCCTGAAAAGTCTTTTATATTTTCCCTTTTAATTTTTAATGGACGATCTCTCTCGTTTTAAGTCGAAATTTAAATTTTTTGCACATATAAATAAGAATAAATGTGCTCTTTAAAATGATATCCACTTTGATATATTTTTAGTACAAAAAAATCGAATAATATTTTACCAGTCATTACCATATGGTATGCTCCAATTTAATACCATATGGTAAGAAAGCGTACCATGACGGTATAAAGATACCAATATGGTAAGAAGGTTGAATACATGATAGTAGGAGTATATTAACTGTCATTTAAGACTTTCATCATTGTTTACTACAAGTTACCACCCACATATCATAGTGTAAAGTACGGTAATTTTTTATCAAGTATGTTTTTCACCCAGAAATTTATAGATCCAATAAATCATGATGAACTCGTTCCTTCTGAGCAAATGTTTTCAAAAACGACTTAAAAAACGAAGAAGTTACCATATGGTATGTAGTTGGTAAAAAAAAAAATTTCCTCGAAATATATTGAAAATTGATATCATTTTGTAGAGCACAACGAACTCGTTCCATCTGTTCAAAAAAATTTGAAATCCGAGTTAGAACGAAGAAGATAAGAACCGATTAAGAAAACTAGGGAAAATAAAATGTCTTTAATTGACAACTCTTAGATCTGAATTTTCTGAACCCACTTAAATCTAAAGGTCCAGATTTAGTTACTCATAAGTTAGTAACCATTGATTACTGACCCTATCCTAAGCCCTGGGTTAGACTCTAGAATCAGTCCTTAAGACACAGATTGAAAGAAACATGGAAAATAGCTAGATAAGAATATAAGGAAAAGACGTGGAAAAAAGAACAAAAGGAAAAAAATTATATATTTACGGTGTCAAAATTTGATAAGGGATGAACAATGGGACGGGTTTGTCTAAACCATCCTCATCCCCATCTCGTTTTACTTACCCAAATCTATACCCGCTCCATACCTATGTGGGGTAATGTTTTGCAAACCCATCCCCATAAACATGGGTAATACCTGCCCCGTACATACAACATTATTATACCTAAAACTTTACAAGAAATTTTTAATTATAACACTAAACGAACCTACTATATCATGAAGTCAACAACATACAGTCATTTTCTTAATACAGTTCAAAGAATATGATAAAAAAACATCCAATAATACGGGGATTTCTACGGTACCCAGGGTGAAATCCGGGGTACGGCATACCAGGAGTAAGAAAACGCTATCCAGAACTTGAATTGATTGATATTTCAGACATGATACTATACTCTAACCCTTAAAGATCAAAATCTAGGTCTTAATTCTCTAAATCTTATACCCCAAGATCAATTTAATTAGAAACAATAATCGATGGTTATGATTCGTCCAAATATAGGCAAAAAAAATCAATGCACCATCTTAGGGTTTATAGTTTATGATTTAGATAATTATGACCTAGGGCTCACTCATTTAGGGTTAGGATATAGTATCATGCCCAAAAATCCTGGTAATTCGAAGTGTTTTCATACTGAAGGTATGCGGTACTCCGGATTTCACCCGGGGTACCGTAGAAGGCACCATATAATACATAATAAAGAGTACCATATTTTACAAATTATTATGCTCTAGCTCTTAAACATCTACTATGTAAAATTAACTAACATAATCTTGTTGACAAGGAGGAAAGTGAAAGAGTGAAGGGATAATTAAGGAAAATGAATTACGGTTTGATTAGGGTGGTCACTCAATTTATTTCTACCTTTTGTTTTCTCAAGTTACATTCATTATCATTGAAAAGTTACAATTTGATCCATATAATATATTAAATGTGAAGAAATTCTCTTGGTGGGGCGGGCATGTGTATGGGGCGGAGGAGGCTAAAACCATACCCGCCCATACCCATCAAACTTTTTGCGGGTTTTACCCATACCTGCCTCATACCCATTGGGGATTTTCCGCGTTGACTGGGTCGGGGACGGTCGGATACCCGCGGCCATGGATTTGATTGCCATCCCTAAATTGGATCGAGTGTAGTACGTTAAAATCTGAAGACTAGAATCATATTCTCTAGGGTCTCTCGTAACCACGACGGTGAGGGATGATTTCTATGATTGTTTAAAATGAATGTGGAGGTTGAAGTTCCTCTAGGGTTGAAGTTACCTTTGGTTGTACAATATGAGAGAGAAAGGAAAGTAATGCAAAAAGTAAATCTTAGCCTACGGCTAGCGATTCAGGTCCAATTGTACACATTTTACCCCTCATTTCTTGATAGTTTGGCCTTGCATTTCATCGTCCCTCGACATATTTCACGCTAGGTTGTGCTTCTTTTGATACATTTCAGGTCCTAGAACGTGTGGAAGGGTCGAGGACGAGTTTCAGGATGATTGGAGGTTGATAAGCGTAGAAACCGAAGAAAAGTCCAAAGTGGCGATCGTGACAATTCGTGGGTTTGTGTTTAATGCAAAGTATGTTGTATTTTCATGATGTTTGGGTTGTGTTCTTCATTTCTCATTACTATGTCAATTTGACCTAGGTAGAGGGAATTCGCCTTTTTGTTAGGAGGCTTTGATAAGCTGGATTCCTTGGCCAATTGAGTCACCTACCTAGGGAAAATTAGGACAAACCTCAAACTTCGATTTATCATTTTAGCTTGGGTGTTACTTTGACGTCCGGATTAAGTTCCGAGGAATTCGTCTTGCAACCCTTCATTTTATTGGTTAAGAGAGCTAGGACTCTTGGCTTATTGTTGCAATCCTTAGCCGAAAGGGTAAGAGAGCTAGACTCTCTAGTTTATTGTAGCAATCATTAATCTATTGATTGAGAGAGCTAAGGTTCCTAGCTCAATTGTTTTTCTTAACCGATTGATTAAGAGAATGAGGTTTCCTTCGCTTGTTGCGCCTTCCTACAGTGTATTAACACACCTCCACACATTTTTCATTCGATTTGGGCGATCTTGATATGTAGCTAGGAGGAGCAATACTCCGGTGAACTCTTCTCTCATTGGGACAACCTCAATTTACTTTACTTGCTCGTTTTCCTTTGTAGTTTTCTTAGTTTTAAACCCAAAAACGTTTGCTAGATAACAAACTAAGCGATTGAAGGGGGGTACATGGACTGACCCGAGTTTGACAATTAAAACATACTTTCCCTATACTGCACCCGGCTAGAGTTTATGCTTGAGCTCTAGTCGAGATTAATTCGCGGTGTATCCAAGGTGAGTCAGCTAGCGAAAGAAGCATTTGTAGAACACGAGTAGCACATAAATTATCTTATAAATATGATAAATGAAATATAGTTATTTATGGATCTTTCGTCTGCAATGTATTCAAATCACGATTCGACGTAGTAGCATTTTCATAAGCTAGAAGTGTAAAAATGTAAGCTTTTATGCTTTAAAGTGTATATTTTGGTGACTTAGAAATGCAAAAGCACAATTTTGACTGCATTGGTTGTTTGGGTCTTTGAATCTGGCCCTTATTTAATCGTCTTCAAGAGGATTGACCACTCTAAAGTATCAAGAGGATTAACAAAAAAATACATTTCCATAGCCACAACTTTCATGTTTGTGACACTTGTAGCTACAACTTTTAAAATACACAAAATAGTCACTTTAGTCGATCTCTTTAACGATGTCCCTTAACAATATGACTGGAGAAGAAGGCCTTATCATCATCAGATCCCCAATTTGCTAGACTAAAGAAGAAGGTTTTGGAAGCTTGGCGGAGTCGCTTAAAAACGACGAGAAAGATGGCAACAAAGCTGCTAAGAAGAAGGTCAACAATGGCCACAAAGAAGAAGACATCGATGGAGAAGGGGAAAGAGGAAACGATGACTCCGGTGGCGGCAGAGATCCATAGGGGGAAGGAAGGATGGGGGGAGGGGCACATAGTGCATTTCCCCCTTCAATTCCTCTACACCGTT